CACACACACACATACTGAAACACACACACACATACTGAAACACACACACATCCTGAAACACACACAAACACACTGAAACACACACAAACACACAAACACTTCCTGAATCACACTGGAACACACACACACAACACACACATCCTGAAAACACACACACACTTACTGAAACACACTGAAACACACACTGAAACACACAAACACACACTGAAACACACACACACACACACACACACACACACACACACACTGAAACACACACATACACACACTGAAACACACACACACACACACACTGGAACACACACACACACACACACACACACACTCCTCAGATTAAAGCTCTCCTGTTTTTTTGTAAACGGGTCGAGCCTGTTTTGTTCTGCAGGATTAGAGCTGATGATGTCACTGGGGGGCGGGCCCTCGGGCGCGTACGTGTGTGTGTGCGTGCGCCTGTGTGTGTGTGTGTTTGTGTGTGTGCGCGCTCCTGTATGTGTGTGTGTGTGTGTGTCTGTGTGTGTGTGTGTGTGTTCAGGAGCTGCAGCTGAAGCAGCCACAGAAAGCTCCGACTCTTCAGCTCGACCGGCTGCTCCTCTCAGCTCGACACGTAAGTCTGAAGGTTTTTATGGGTTCTCAGGTTCTGACCCGGTTCTGACTGGACTCCAGAACCCGACTCCTTTCAGAGGAAATGTTTATAAAACTTGAGTTTAAAACAGTTTCAATGTGTAAAAGTTTCATGTTGAACTGGTTTTAAAATCAAAACCTTTGATTTAAAAGGAAGCAGGAAGTTTTCAGGTGAACCAACCAGAACCTGCTGCTTCGGTACCAACCTGTAACCGGGTCCAACCAAGTCCTGATGATGACATCAGTTTGGACCTGGGTCTGTATGGGTTCCAGCTGGACCTCCTGACCCATCAGAGGAGTTTCCCTGGATTTCTTCAGAGATTCAGTCTCATCTGGACCGAGCTCGGATCAGATGTTTGCAGAACTTCTTCAGGATCCTAGACTGTGGAGGTGGTTCTGGGTCTCGTGGGTCCACAGGAACCAGAATGAACCCTGAGATTCCAGAGGAAGTCCTTTAAAGGGTGCTCCAGAACCAGAGAGAGCGACCCACTTCATCTGATGATGGGTTTTTGGAGGGACAGAACCAGGGGAGCAGGACCGGGTGGAGGGACAGGACTCTGGTAGAGGGACAAGACATGTGTAGAGGGACAGGACCTGTGTAGAGGGACAGGACCCTGGTAGGGGGACGGGATTCTGGTAAAGGCACAGGACCTGTATAGAGGGCCAGGACTCAGGAAGGGACGGGATTCTGGTAAAGGGACAGGACCTGTATAGAGGGACAGGACTCAGGAAGGGACAGGATTCTAGTAAAGGGACAGGTCTCTGGTAGAGAGACAGGACTCAGGGACAGGACCTGTATAGAGGGACAGGACCTGGTAAAGGGACAGGACTCTGGTAAAGGGACAGGACCTGGTAAAGGGACAGGACCCTGGTAAAGGGACAGGACTCTGGTAGAGGGACAGGACTCAGGTAAAGGGACAGGGCTCTGGTAAAGGGACAGGACCCTGGTAAAGGCACAGGACCTGGTAAAGGGAAAGGACCTGGTAAAGGGACAGGACTCAGGTAGAGGGACAGGATTCTGGTAAAGGGACAGGACCCTGGTAAAGGGACAGGACTCAGGCACAGGACCTGTATAGAGGGACAGGACCCTGGTAAAGGCACAGGACCTGGTAAAGGGACAGGACCCTGGTAAAGGGACAGGACTTTGGTAAAGGGACAGGGCTCTGGTAAAGGGACAGGACCCTGGTAAAGGCAGAGGACCTGGTAAAGGGACAGGACCCTGGTAAAGGGACAGGGCTCTGGTAAAGGGACAGGACCCTGGTAAAGGCACAGGACCTGGTAAAGGGACAGGACCTGGTAAAGGGACAGGACTCAGGTAGAGGGACAGGACTCAGGTAGAGGGACAGGATTCTGGTAAAGTGACAGGGCTCTGGTAAAGGGACAGGGCTCTGGTAAAGGGACAGGACCTGTATAGAGGGACAGGACTCAGGTAAAGTGACAGGACTCTGGTAGAGGGACAGGATTCTGGTAAAGGGACAGGACCCTGGTAAAGGGACAGGACTCCAGGACTCGGGAAGGGGGTCCTCAGGGTGGGAGGAATCTGTTGGGCTTTAGAGACGTGAATCGGGGCCAGAAGAGTCTTTGTTTTGGACCAATGAATCAGTATTCTTTTGAGGAGAACTAAAGAGCTCTTTCAGCTGCCCCCCTGCCCCCCTCCCCTCCTCTTCTTCATTGATGAAGGGCAGACTGGAGGCCTGCTGAGACCCGGTTCTTTCTCTCTGAAAGGCTGCAGGATTGGTTCTGCCAGCTGACGTGTGAAAGAGAAGCATTGCCTGAAAGAGGACTCTGTCATCAGAGCACAAAGACAACAGAGAGCAGAGAGGTGCATTCTGGGTAATTTACTCTCTGCTTTTCACAGCAGAATCATCGGACTGGACCCGGACCTGGTCCTGGTCCTCAAACAGTGACGGACCCACTTAAAGTGGAGCAGAACCAGACGAGATGAGAGCAAAACAAGCCGTCTGCCGGCGTTAGCCCACTTCTATAATCCCAACACAATGCTCAGATTAACCCCAGGTTTGGGGGTCGGGCCGAGCCGGTTCAGATTCTGGGTTTGGACCATCTGGTCCTCAGAGAGACACGGACGGGTGGGACCACAGGACGAACGTGACATCAGATTAAAGATGAAAACAATCTGAGCTCTTCTGTTCAGATTAAAGAAAACATTTAGCATGATGATATGTTTGTCTGTTAGCAAAATATCTCCTGACCCAGTGGACCCTATTCAAGATGGCCGCCGCAGCCAACCTGACAAAATACAAACATTTTGTGTCACTTCCTGTCCAAACAGGAAGTGTTTACACCTCTTCAGTCTTTATTTACTCATTCATAAATGATTCATTTTCAGTTTGGATCTGATCCACATGGTCCAGTCTCTGAGGTCCGGTCTCTGAGGTCCAGTCTCTCTCTGTAGTCCAGTCTCTCTCTGAGGTCCAGTCTCTGAGGTCCAGTCTCTCTGAGGTCCAGTCTCACTGAGGTCTGATCTCTGAGGTCCAGTCTCTGAGGCCCGGTCTCTCTGAGGTCCGGTCTCTCTGAGGTCCGGTCTCTCTGAGGTCCGGTCTCTCTAATGTCCGGTCTCTCTGAGGACCAGTCTCTCTGAGGTCCGGTCTCTGAGGTCTGGTCTCTCTGAGGTCCGGTCTCTGAGGTCCGGTATCTGAGGTCTAGTCTCTCTGAGGTCTAGTCTCTCTGAGGTCCAGTTTCTCTGAGGTCCCGTCTCTGAGGTCCGGTCTCTGAGGTCCAGTCTCTGAGGTCCAGTCTCTGAGGTCCAGTCCCTGAGGTCCACTCTCTGAGGTCCACTCTCTCTGAGGTCCGGTCTCTCTTAGGTCCGGTCTCTCTGAGGTCCAGTCTCTCTGAGGTCCAGTCTCTCTGAGGTCCGGTCTATGAGGTCCGGTCTATGAGGTCCAGTATCTCTGAGGTCCAGTCTCTCTGAGGTCTGATCTCTGAGGTCTGGTCTCTCTGAGGTCCGGTCTTTCTGAGGTCTGGTCTCTGTGGTCCGGTCTCTCTGAGGTCCAGTCTCTCTGAGATCCGGTCTCTGAGGTCTGGTCTCTGAGGTCCGGTCTCTCTGAGGTCTGGTCTCTGAGGTCTGGTCTCTGAGGTCCGGTCTCTCTGAGGTCCGGTCTCTCTGAGGTCCACTCTCTCTGAGGTCCGGTCTCTCTGAGGTCCGGTCTCTCTGAGGTCCGGTCTCTCTGAGGTCTGGTCTCTGTGGTCCGGTCTCTCTGAGGTCCAGTCTCTCTGAGGTCCGGTCTCTGAGGTCCGGTCTATGAGGTCCAGTCTCTCTGAGGTCCAGTGTCTCTGAGGTCCAGTCTCTCTGAGGTCCAGTCTCTGAGGTCCGGTCTCTCTGAGGTCCGGTCTCTCTGAAGTCTGGTCTCTCTGTGGTCCGGTCTCTCTGAGGTCCGGTCTCTCTGAGGTCCGGTCTCTGAGGTCCGGTCTCTGAGGTCCAGTCTCTCTGAGGTCCAGTCTCTCTGAGGTCTGGTTTCTGAGGTCCAGTCTCTCTGAGGTCCAGTCTCTGAGGTCCGGTCTCTCTGAGGTCCGGTCTCTCTGAGGTCCGGTCTTTCTGAAGTCTGGTCTCTCTGAGGTCCAGTCTCTCTGAGGTCCAGTCTGTCTGTGGTCTGGTCTCTCTGAGGTCCAGTCTCTCTGAGGTCCGGTCTCTCTGAGGTCCGGTCTCTCTGAAGTCTGGTCTCTCTGAGGTCCAGTCTCTGAGGTCCGGTCTCTCTGAGGTCCGGTCTCTCTGAAGTCTGGTCTCTCTGAGGTCTGGTCTCTGAGGTCTGGTCTCTCTGAGGTCCGGTCTCTCTGAGGTCCGGTTTCTCTGAGGTCTGGTATCTGAGGTCCGGTCTCTCTGAGGTCTGGTCTCTCTGAGGTCCGGTCTCTCTGAGGTCCGGTCTCTCTGAGGTCTGGTATCTGAGGTCCGGTCTCTCTGAGGTCTGGTCTCTCTGAGGTCCGGTCTCTCTGAGGTCCGGTCTCTCTGAGGTCTGGTCTCTCTGAGGTCTGGTCTCTCTGAGGTCTGGTATCTGAGGTCCGGTCTCAGTTTTATCTGTTAGTCGTTTTGTTTTAGCTTCTAGTTTTCAGTTTTAGCTATTATTTGTTTAGCTTTAGCCATCAATTGTTCAGTTTTAGATCTCAGTTTTTCAATTGTTAGTTGTTCAGTTTTAGCTGTTATTTCTTTGGTTTTAGCTGTTAGTTGTTCAGTTTTAGCTGTTATTTCTTTGGTTTTAGCTGTTAGTTGTTCAGTTTTAGCTGTTATTTCTTTGGTTTTAGCTGTTAGTTGTTCAGTTTTAGCTGTTATTTCTTTGGTTTTAGCTGTTAGTTGCTCAGTTTTAGCTGTTGTCTGTTGGTTTTTGGATGTTTTTCTGTATCTCTGTAGATGTTTCTGGTCTTTGTCTAGACTCGGGCCCTGGGGCCTCCTGACCCCTTTGTTCTGGACCACATAAAGCCTGTTCACTAATCCCCCCAACACACACACACACACACACACACACACACTGTACCCCTCAGTACATCTGTCCACATGTCAACAGAAACCTGGATGGACCCGGTCCTGCCCCCCTGGTTCTGGTCTAACTGTGGGTTTTGGTCTCTGCAGGATGAGAAGTTTGTTCTGTGTGACTCTGCTGCTGCTCCTGGTCTTCACAGCCGAAGCCAACAGAAGATCCAAACATCACAAAGGTCAGAACTCCACCAGAACCCACCAGAACTCTGAGTTAAAGCTCTACCTGGTATTTCCCGCATAGACACAGTGTTTTAAACAAAAGTACTCTGTGTACTGCTGAATACTACAGAAGTACTATTAGAAGTAAAAAAGTTTTACTCGCTGTGGAGTAGCTGCCATCTTGAACTCTGAACTCTCCCACTTTCCTACAGGGAATTCCCATTCGAGGGGCATTCTAGTTTAAATTTACGAATTGTAAGTGGGAAATTCCCATTTCCCAGTACAACTGGGCTGCAGGAAAAGTAGCCGATAAAAATGGAGATTTTACATGAATTTCATCGGCTACTTTTGAACCCTGTGCAGCTTCCCCTGGTGGTGAGATGCCATCATTTTGCGGGTCAAATAATCAACACGCATTATGGGAAATGTAGTTTATGGTCAACGCTAGTTTTTCATTGAAGTTCTGGCGGGCCAAATAAGTTGCAGTGGTGGGCCACATCTGGGCCGTGGGCCTTCAGTTTGACAGGTGGTGTTTGTGTGCTCTGCAGGTGGGAAACAGGAGAAGTCTCGACCCACCTCTGAGTGCTCCGCTGCAGAGACCCGGTACGGGAGATGTGTCCCGGAACACGGAGACTGTGGAGAGGGACTGAGGGAGGCCACGTGTAAAGACCGGACTGAGAAGATCCACTGCAGGATCCCCTGCAACTGGAAGAAGGACATCAGTAAGAACCACACAGAACCGAGCCGGACCTCAGAGTCAGACTTTACTGATCCTCCATCAGAACTCTAAAACCACAAGAAAAAAAAAGATTGATGTTTGGTGTCAGAATTAAAGTTTAACATGTAGCGCCACCTGGTGGACAACCGTTAGAACTGGTGCAGAAAAATATAAACATAAAAACAAAATGAATCAGATAAAATAAAAACTGACCTGGTTCCACTGGATCAGTGTTCTGCTGCTACCTGTCCTCACCTGTTCCTCCAAAGGATCAGAACCTTCAGGTTGCTGACCAGGTGTTCTGTTCTTCAGGCGACTGTAAGTACAAGTTCGGCCCGTGGGGTTCCTGCGACGCCGCCACCAACACCAAGACCCGGTCCGGAACTCTGAAACGGGCTCTGTTCAACGCCGAGTGCCAGACCACCGTCAAGGTGTCCAAACCCTGTTCCCACAAGACCAGGAAGGTCAAAGGTGAGACCAGAACCTCTGGACCTCTGTCTTCCTGTTGTTCATCAGAACCTCCTGTTCTGAGATGGAACAGAACCCAGGAGGTTCTGAGGAATACTGCAGAGACCAGTTATTAAAGAAAACTGTTTTACTAACAAATAAAAGCAGAATTATTTCTGCTCTGGACCTACCTGTCTCACCTGCCTGTCTGTGGTTCTGTAGTTTGGACTTTGATCTCTGATATTTTTGTTTTCAGGAGAGAAAAAGTCCAACTGAGAAGAAACCAGAAGCAGCAGAACAATCTTTTCCTCCAGACTCTGAAACTGATGCTCCTCCTGACCCCTCCAACTCATGGCCCCACCCACTCTTGACTCCTCCCACATTTGTATTCCTTGGATTAAAGCTTTCTTAGATGAGTAACGTCGGTCAGTAGTTGATAGTTTAACAGATCTGAGAGAAAACTGATGAAGGTCAGTGGAGTCTTCCTCCTGACTGGTTTGTTTTTAAAAAATAAAAACAAAAAAATATTTTATTTGAAAAACAGATTATTGATGAAACTTGTACAAAACAACAAATAAAATGTTGTTTATTGTTTTGGTGAAGCTGTTTTTGTCTTATTGAATAAAAAAATTAAAAACCTGCAGATAAAAATAAATCCAAGTTTTTATTAAAGAGAACTGAGATTTAAATTATGATTTTAAAGAAAGTCTCTTTGATCTGAACGTCACATTAAAGCTCCTGTGACACGTTTTTTTCTTCAGTTACAGAAAATTAAATAAAATATCCTCATATTTGAGAAATTTGGCATCATTCATGGTTTTTACCCAGTTTGTCACAAAACGTGCATATTTTTTGATAATTTGGTGCAGTTCAAGTGAAACAGGAAGTGATGTCAAATGGGAACTCTTTAAAAAAAGAGAAACTTCCTGGTCTTAATAAAAGTGACTCTTTGTCTACCTGATAACTCAAAATAATCTACAGAAACATCTGATTCTTTGCCGTCTGTTAACCATTGTAACAGCTCATTCAGGTATTCCCCTATGACATCACTTCCTGTTTCTGCTCATGCAAACATCTCAACAACTGTTCATTTCAGTGTTGTGAATTTTGATTTGCAATTCGTCATTAATGTCCGTCCATCCATCCATTATCTATACCTGCTTATTCCTCCAGGGTCACTGGTCCCATATCGAGCAGTCCCAGTGCGAGGGGCGGGGTACACCCTGGACAGATCACAAGTCCATCACAATCATTGATGTCATCTTTCCAAATCTGCACTGAAATAAATCCCTTAAATTTAAAGTCACAGGCACTTGAAATTCACGTTGATGGATTTCTGAAAATAAAAACCTCAATAAACAGAAATCTTCCTTCAGGCTGTAAAGAGCCGCAGTGTGAACAGTTTCCCGCAGCGGCAGCATCAGCTGAGTCTCCCGCGGCGGCGGTGGCGGCAGCGCAGGAGGCTGCAGAAGGTCCTCCTGAAGGTGGGGTTGCACAGCGAGTAGCAGCCCGGGTTGAGGGCGCTGTTCACGTAGCACAGCCAGTACCCCGTGTCCCACAGGGTGTCGGGGATCCGGACGTGCCAGACGGCGGCCATGACGGCCATGACGTTGTACGGCGTCCAGGTGAAGATGAAGGCCAGCAGGATGGCCAGGATGGTGTTGGTGACCCTCCTCTCCCTCGCCGCCACTCGCTCCCGCCTCCTCTCCTGAGACCTCAGGCTGACGTCGGAGGAGAGCGCCGCCGAGGCCGGGCCGCGGGGGTCGGCGATAGACGAGGAGCTGGTCTCCGTCCTGACGGCGTCTCCGTCTCCGTCGTGAGAGAGGCGGTGCTGAGGAGACAGATGGGTCAGGTTGATGACATCACAAACATGGAAACACAAACAGGAAGTGGGCCACTATGGGATCAATCTTGTGCCAGCAGAAACTGAATCTGACTTGCTCAGATTGAATCTGAATGTGCAGAATTTGAAATTAAATGCATTGGTTTGAAAACATTTTACTAAATTGAAACTGAATTTAAAGTTTTGTATCTGGATGTATTATGACCCCGCACACGGAGAGAAGCAGGAGTCATATTGTTTTCCTACTGTTTGTTTGTTTGTTTGTTTTACTCCTGAGATTTTTGATCAACCGTAGCACAAAAACAGCTGCACCGATCAAAATGAAATTAGTCAGGACTGTAGTTGAGTCTGACCTACACTGCACCAGCCAACGATTTTATGATAGACCCCATCTTTGAGGAGGGGGGTCCTGTCAAACAGGGGGTGTCAGGACATACAAAAATGCTTATAACTCAGAAACTGTTCAACATAGACGCTTCAGATTTATTTTGTTGTTTAGCTCTGATGAAGCTCTGTCCATCAGGTCCACCAATCAATCATATTTGGTCCAGGAATGTTCTGGACAGTCTGGTAAAAACACGAGTTCAATGGTTTGCTGTCATCAGTGTGTATTACGAAGTACATGCTCGTTTACCAGAGAGGAAGCCCACCCAGCTCGTACAGATTGTCAGGAAAAGTGAGGTCTGTTGATTTCCAGGAAATGTTACATAAAAGGTCTCCAATGTGTGTGTGTGAAAAGCCTTCTCAAATCTTGGCTTAGTTTATTCTGATGATGCAGAATGAAGGTATAAAAACTGAGCTCCCCAATTCGGCGGGTTTGGTTCTCATATCTTCCACAACTACATGTGTAACAGAGTTGATGCAATCCACCTTAAAAGTGACAAAAACAAAGTTATTTTATTGCAGTGATTAATTTGACCTATATGTAGAAAATGTTACATTTACATCACATCATGGATCAGTCAGCAGCAGCATCTGATCAATATGTGATCCATGATGTAAATCTGTGGATCTGTGTTTGATTACTCTGCCTGGCTTTCTCAAGGACCAGGATGTGACACAAACATCTGAATTATGGAACTGAAAGTGAAAGTAGTCAAACTGAATTTTTAATAAACCAAAATACAGTTTCAAAGAAAATTAATTCAGATACAAAACTTTAAGTTCAGTTTAAAATTCTGCACATTCAGATTCAGTCTGAGCAATTCAAATTCACTTCCTGTTGGCACAAGATTTATCCCATAGGCCACGCCTACCAGGTGTCTCCAGTTCTCCATGGTGTCCACCATGGACGTCCTCCTCTGGTTCTGGGTCAGGTCCAAGCCCGTGTCGCTGGTGTCCCAGCTGCGGCGTTTCAGTTGGAAGTCCCTGATGGACGGACTGGAGGACCTGCGGGTCCCCCGGCCCACCTGGAGGGCGCTCAGCCGGCGGCGGCTGGCGACCGACAGCCGTCCGTACAGGCCGATCATGGCGAGCGCCGGCAGGTAGAAGGACAGCAGCGTGGTTCCCAGAGTGACCGCCGGGCTGGCCAGCAGCCGGACGTAGCAGTCCTCGTCGGGGACCGCCCGCCGGCCCCCGGCCCGCTGCCAGCACAGGATGGCGGGGGTCCAGAGGACGAAGGACAGGAGCCAGGCGGCGCCGATCATGGCGCCAGCGACGCGGCCCGTCCGCCACGCCGGGTAGCCGAGCGGCCGCGTGAGGCAGAGGTAGCGGTCCAGACCGATGAGCAGCAGGTTGAGCACCGAGGCGTTGCTCACAGCGTAGTCCAGGACGAGCCAGGCGTCGCAGAGCGCGGCCCCCAGGGGCCAGCGGCCCCGCAGCCGGTACAGCGTGTACACGTTCATGGACAGCACGCCGATCAGCAGGTCGGCCGCCGCCAGGCTCAACAGGAAGTAGTTGTGGACCGTGCGCAGGCGGCGGTTCACCTTGATGGACAGGACCACCAGCATGTTGCCCAGGACCGTCAGCAGGCTCAGGGAGACGCTTACCACGATGATGAGGATCAGCTGGGCGGAGCTCCAGGGATACAGGGCTCTGATTGGAGGCTGGGAGGAGGCATTCACATGGGGGCGGAGCCAAACTGAAGCGTTGAGGATGAGCTCAGGAGTCAATGCCATGTTGCCTAAAACAAAAACATCAGATCCACACCTGCAGATTAAACTCAGACTCCGCCCACCTGAGGGTCATCGGAGATTACTTTTTCCTCAGAATTCTGACTTTAATCTCAGAATTCTGACTTTAATCTCAGAATTCTGACTTTAATCTCAGAATTCTGACTTTAATCTCAGAATTCTGACTTAATTCTGACTTTTAATTCTGAGATTAAAGTCAGAATTCCTTTTTTTAATATTTTCAGTGGCCCTAATCCTCTTCTGTACAAACATAATTTGTTATAAAATATTATTAGTATCATCCTGACCAACATCAGTTTCCTGTACTTAGTTTGTAATATTTAGGATTTTTTTTTTTTTTTGTTGCTACAAAAAATATAAAACAAAAAGAAGAATTTTACATTCTGGGATTATTAATCTGTTTATCTAAATGACCTTAAAACATTTTGTTATATGATCAACAGATTAATTCAGATTTAATATTTAAAGTGTTCAGAAGAAAATCTCTAAATAAAATTTGAATCTTTGCAAAAAAAAAAAAAACCTCAGAAAGTGCAAAAATATGAAGTTAATAAAAGTAATAAATAATCTGAGCAGATTAAAGTTTTCTATAACTTCGTTATTTCGCTCAAATGTTTGAATCGTTTTATTTTTCGTTTTATTTGATCTAAAAAAGTTTAATTCTGCTTCAGATTCTTTGTTTCGCTTTAATGAAAGTTAATATATTTTACATTTTAATGAAACATTTTTACTCTTGGAGATTAAATAATCTGTAAAGTATGAAACATTAAAATGTAATCCTTTTTTAAACCAACTGTAGTTTAAAATAGTTAAATTTCATAATAAAAGCTGAAATAATCTCAGCTGGTTTTCTTACCTCTGATGTTGGAGCAGCTGCTCGTGTCAGCATCTTCATCATCTTCACCCACAGCAGCGGTTTATAAACAGCCCCTCCTCATCCTCAGTCCAAGCTCCGCCTCCTGCAGCTGATCCCAGACCTTCATCGTCAGGCAGAAACTCGTCTTCATCATGTCTCAGATGGTTTGTGAACCTTTTCTTCAAACAGAATCAGTTTTTCTGTTTGAAGAAACGTTTCAGTAAAATAATCTGAAACTTCAGATTTAATCTGCAGACCTGAACACCTCTGCTGGGTTTAGGTCTGAGGGGTCCAGGAGGAGGTCCTGATCCAGCTCAGATCAGGACAGACTCACCTTCTGCTCTTCTTCCTCCTCCTAAAACCTGAACCTCTGGACTTCCTGTTTCTGTAGGATTTTCAGTTTAAAAGCCCTTGTCATCAGGCTGAGGGGAAATAAAGTCATCAGTCGGTTTATTTTCAGATTTTAATCTACGACCACCTGAGAGGTTTTACATCCATCAGACATCAGGTCTGAACACATCCAGGACCCGGATGGTCCGGTCTGACCGGGACCCGGCTGTACCTTTCACCCACCCACACACACACACACACACACACACACACACACACACACACACACACACACAGAGCTGTAAAATGTTCAGGGATCAAGTAAAACCAGGAGGAGAACTCAGGTCTCTGCTGCCTCAGTCTGCAGGTTCTGTTGGGACCCAGCCGGTCCAGAACCGGCCCTGAGGTTCTGATCTGATGGTTCTGGTTGTTTCTGAATCTGCAGCCTGAGGGTTTCACAGCCGACCTCTCCAGAACCAGAACCAACAGAAAGATCTCAAGAACCCGTCTCCAGACTCTTCTGTCCAGTTCTTCAGAAGCAGGTCCAGGTCTCCTGAGCAGGACCCTCAGGTGAGCTGGACCCTCAGGTGAGCTGGACCCTCAGGTCCAGGACTCAGTGATGGGTACATTAAAACTCCCATGATGCTTTGCAGCTTCTGCTTCAAGTCTCTGTTAACGGTGGTTTGAGCATCTCTCTGAAACACCTTTTGGACCGGCGCCAGATGTCTGGGCTCGTACCGAGGATCTATCTGTTGATGAGACCGCTGGGGGGCAAACAGATCGGTTCTGATCCAGATCTGACCTGGAACCAGAACCTGGTTTCTGAGGATTTATTTGATGAACGTCAGAAGTCTTTAGTTTTGAAGTTTTACCCACAGGAAGTAGTTTGAAGACCCGACCCGGCCCATATGATAAGAACCATCAGCAGCAGCAGCTCTGGATGATCCAACAGTTCTGTTCAGAACCACTGATCCAGTTCTATGTGATAAATCCTGTGTCAGCAGGAACTGAATCTGAATGTTCATAATTTGAAATTAAATTCATTGGTTTGAAAATAAATTTTACTAAATTTAAACTGAATTTAAAGTTTTGTATCTGAATTAATTTTCTTTGAAACTGTATTTTGG